GTAGGTTCATCGAACGCTCCGCACATCCCTGTCCCCCCCCCACACATCCCTGTCCCCCCCCCCCCAGCACCTCCTTCATCAATGTAAACGAGGACATCCGGCTGAATCAATACGCTTTTATCAGAGTGGAACACCGATGTCTGCGCCGCCGGCCAGCGTCCGTCCCGCGTCACCATCACTCAACCGCCAGACATGGCAACCGCGTCATACGATGAACCCAGAAACACCAATCACACGCAGAGCCGGGTGTAACGGGCCGAACCGCGATCGACTCAAACTTCCAATCACACGCAGAGCCGGGTGTAACGGGCCGAACCGCGATCGACTCAAACTTCCAATCACACGCAGAGCCGGGTGTAACGGGCCGAACCGCGATCGACTCAAACTTCCAATCACACGCAGAGCCGGGTGTAACGGACCGAACCGCGATCGACTCAAACTTCCAATCACAATCAGAGCCGGGTGTAACGGGCCGAACCGCGATTGACTCAAACTTCTAATCACACGCAGAGCCGGGTGTAACGGACCGAACCGCGATCGACTCAAACTTCCAATCACAATCAGAGCCGGGTGTAACGGGCCGAACCGCGATCAACTCAAACTTCCAATCACACGCAGAGCCGGGTGTAACGGACCGAACCGCGATCGACTCAAACTTCCAATCACACGCAGAGCCGGGTGTAACGGACCGAACGGACCCGCGATCGACTCAAACTTCCAATCACAATCAGAGCCGGGTGTAACGGGCCGAACCGCGATCGACTCAAACTTCCAATCACACGCAGAGCCGGGTGTAACGGACCGAACCGCGATCAACTCAAACTTCCAATCACACGCAGAGCCGGGTGTAACGGACCGAACCGCGATGACTCAAACTTCCAATCACAATCAAGCCGGGTGTAACGGGCCGAACCGCGATCGACTCAAACTTCCAATCACAATCAGAGCCGGGTGTAAGCCGAACCGGTTCGTAGAGCCGGGTGTAACGGGACCGAACCGCGATCGACTCAAACTTCCAATCACACGCAGAGCCGGGTGTAACGGACCGAACCGCGATCGACTCAAACTTCCAATCACACGCAGAGCCGGGTGTAAGCCGAACCGGTGTCAACGCAGAGCCCGAACCGCGATCGACTCAAACTTCCAATCACACGCAGAGCGGGTGTAACGGGTGTAACGGGCCGAACCGCGATCGACTCAAACTTCCAATCACACGCAGAGCCGGGTGTAACGGACCGAACCGCGATCGACTCAAACTTCCAATCACACGCAGAGCCGGGTGTAACGGACCGAACCGCGATCGACTCAAACTTCCAATCACACGCAGAGCCGGGTGTAACGGACCGAACCGCGATCGACTCAAACTTCCAATCACACGCAGAGCCGGGTGTAACGGACCGAACCGCGATCGATCGACTCAAACTCTTCCAATCACACGCAGAGCCGGGTGTAACGGGCCGAACCGCGATCGACTCAAACTTCCAATCACACGCAGAGCGGGTGTAACGGGCCGAGCCGCGTGTCACACGCAGAGCCGGGTGAACCGCGCGATCGACTCAAACTTCCAATCACACGCAGAGCCGGGTGTAACGGCCGAACCGCGATGTCCAAACGGAGCCGAACGGACCGAACCGCGATCGACTCAAACTTCCAATCACAATCAGAGCCGGGTGTAACGGGCCGAACCGCGATCGACTCAAACTTCCAATCACAATCAGAGCCGGGTGTAACGGACCGAACCGCGATCAAACTCAAACTTCCAATCACAATCAGAGCCGGGTGTAACGGGCCGAACCGCGAAGAGCCGGTGGTGACCGCGATCGACTCAAACTTCCAATCACACACAGAGCCGGGTGTAACGGACCGAACCGCGATCAACTCAAACTTCCAATCACAATCAGAGCCGGGTGTAACGGGCCGAACCGCGATCGACTCAAACTTAGAAATCACAATCAGAGCCGGGTGTAACGGACCGAACCGCGATCGACTCCGCCGCAAACTCACACTTCTCTACCGTCTCTATAAATCTCCAAATATAGATCCTATGAGCAGATAATCACCCGATCCTCCTATATACACCCCAACCTCCTGCACCCCCATAGATTACACTTCCCTTTGCTGAAGGGGGTGTTATTGAGTTCTGATTGGCTGATTGCAGGAAAATTAAAGTGGACCTGTCAGAACTTTACAAATCTCCATGAATAAATTCCTAATATGCCACAACGTACCGCAACGGGATCATTTCTCAGAAATTCTCCGGATGATGATGTCATCAGTCTGCTGCAGGCAGGAGGAACCATTTCCTCAGTCTCCCCCTCCCCCAGTGATCAGACTGTACATTGTAACTTTGTAGAAGGAGGAGGAGTCATCTCCTCAGTCTCCCCTCCCCCGGTGATCAGACTGTACATTGTAACTTTGTAGAAGGAGGATGAGTCATCTCCTCAGTCTCCCCTCCCCCAGTGACCAGACTGTACATTGTAACTTTGTAGAAGGAGGAGGAGTCATCTCCTCAGTCTCCCCTCCCCCAGTGACCAGACTGTACATTGTAACTTTGTAGAAGGAGGAGGAGTCATCTCCTCAGTCTCCCCGCCCCCAGTGATCAGACTGTACATTGTAACTTTGTAGAAGGAGGAGGAAGCATTTCCTCAGTCTCCCCTCCCCCAGTGATCAGTCTGTACATTGTAACTTTGTAGAAGGAGGAGGAGTCATCTCCTCAGTCTCCCCTCCCCCGGTGATCAGAATGCAACGTTGTCACTTTGTAGCAAGGTAAGAGGCTGCAGCAGGGGGCTGATGTGTGTCAGACGTTTGTGAACACACCACCAAGAAGGACACAGGCATCAGGATTTACATGATCTCTGAGCCAGCATCTCAGTCCAGGAAGTAGAAGGTGACCCTGGATGATGCTTGAACAAAGATGGTGCCGTCCTTCTGGAGAGAACAGCAGATGAAGGTCGGGGGGGGGGGGGGGGGAGGCCTGCAAAGTCGGGGGGAAGTAATACCTGGACATAATAATGAGCATTCCTGCTGCTGTCCGCCCCGCCTTGCATCCACCTTTACATTAGTTTCTTTAACCGCAGTAGAGATCAGGCTGAGAGTGGGAGTGTCGGCACCATAAGCCGGCCAGCCTCCTCTACACTACACGGGGCTGTCTACTAACATGTTTCAGGAAGTGGGGGCTCGGGGGGGGGGAGAGGTAGGGATCTTTCAGAGATGTGTGGGGGGCTTACTAATGGGGTGATACAAGGTTGGGGGGGGCGGAGGAGACACAGGGCGCCACCTTCTGGTGATGCATGGGGAGTGTGAATCACAAGACAGGCTGAACAGAACCAACAATATTTTGGCACGGATGAGATCCCTGTGTCTTGGTGACCCGGGTAGGTGGCGGCAGGTCAGGTTGGGCCCCCCCGGATAGGTGGCAGCAGGTCTGGTTGGCCCTCCTCCCTGGATAGGTGGTGGCAGGTCAGGTTGTCCCCCCCAGATAGGTGGGGGCAGGTCAGGTTAGGTCCCCCCCTCGGATAGGTGGTGGCAGGTCAGGTTTGGGCCCCCCGGATAGGTGGTGGCAGGTGTGGCTGGGCCCCTCCCGGATAGCTGGCGGCAAGTCAGGTTGGGCCCCCCCCCCGGATAGGTGGCGGCAAGTCAGGTTGGGCCCCCCCCCGGATAGGTGGCGGCAGGTCGGGTTGGGCCCCCCAGATAGGTGGCGGCAGGTCGGGTTGGGCCCCCTCCGGAGAGGTGGTGACAGGTCGGGTTGGGCCCCCTGGATAGGTGGTGACAGGTCGGGTTGGGTCCCCCGGATAGCTGGTGACAGGTCGGGTTGGGCCCCCCGGATAGGTGGCGGCAAGTCAGGTTGGGCCCCTCCCAGATAGGTGGCGGCAGGTCGGGTTGGGCCCCCCGGATAGGTGGTGACAGGTCAGGTTAGGCCCCCCGGATAGGTGGTGACAGGTCGGGTTGGGCCCCCCGGATAGGTGGTGGCAGGTCGGGTTGGGCCCCCTGGATAGGTGGTGACAGGTCGGGTTGGGCCCCCCGGATAGCTGGTGACAGGTCGGGTTGGGCCCCCCGGATAGGTGGCGGCAAGTCAGGTTGGGCCCCTCCCGGATAGGTGGCGGCAGGTCGGGTTGGGCCCCCCGGATAGGTGGTGACAGGTCAGGTTAGGCCCCCCGGATAGGTGGTGACAGGTCGGGTTGGGCCCCCCGGATAGGTGGTGGCAGGTCGGGTTGGGCCCCCTGGATAGGTGGCGGTAGGTCGGGTTGGGCCCCCCGGATAGGTGGCGGCAGGTCGGGTTGGGCCCCCCGGATAGGTGGCGGCAGGTCGGGTTGGGCCCCCCCGGATAGGTGGTGACAGGTCGGGTTGGGCCCCCCGGATAGGTGGCGGTAGGTCGGGTTGGGCCCCCCGGATAGGTGGCGGCAGGTCGGGTTGGGCCCCCCGGATAGGTGGTGGCAGGTCGGGTTGGGCCCCCCGGATAGGTGGCGGTAGGTCGGGTTGGGCCCCCCGGATAGGTGGTGGCAGGTCGGGTTGGGCCCCCCAGATAGGTGGCAGGTCGGGTTGGGCCCCCCGTTGGGAGGGCAGCCCGGAGGGAGTTAATGACGGCGATGACACGGGCATCTTTCTCTACGTAGAATAATGGCTTCCTTCACAGGCCGACAGACTCCAAATTACCTGTGAAATATATTTCCCCGCGGCACGCCATCGGCACTCCTATAAATTACGCGGTTTAATGGCCGATGGAATTCTCTTCCCGCCATCGGATCCGCTAGATTTCAGACCGGGCCTCTTCGCTCCGGTAGGAGCCGCCAGCACCGCGCTGCGCACCACGGCGAGCATTCTCTATAGGAGGACTTCAACGCAGGAACATTCCCGCCCCCCCCCCCCCACCGGGGGGACATTCACAACGCATGTTCCGGTCACGAATTCGGCAGCAGAAATTCCCCTCCTCCCCCCCCCGTCACGGCGTGGGAGAAAAATCCCAAATACACGCACATTGTGTGACTATGAGCGCTTCGGACCACTGCTCAAACTGCGGCCCAGGGGCCAGATGTGGCCCTATAGCACTTATTGTGTGGCCCTCGCAGACAGCGATCTGTTTCAGTGCTCTGCGCTGTTCAACCCTCTTTTAGTTTTAGGGGGTTTTTCCTCTTTGAATTTAATTTTACTATGTCCGCAGTCTCTGGTCATCTCCTGTACTGTGTCCGCAGTCTCTGGTCATCCCTGTACTGTGTCCGCAGTCTCTGGTCATCTCCTGTACTGTGTCTGCAGTCTCTGACCATCTCCTGTACTGTGTCCGCAGTCTCTGGTCATCTCCTGTATTATGTCCGCAGTCTCTGGTCATCTCCTGTACTGTGTCCGCAGTCTCTGGTCATCCCTGTACTGTGTCCGCAGTCTCTGGTCATCTCCTGTACTGTGTCTGCAGTCTCTGACCATCTCCTGTACTGTGTCCGCAGTCTCTGGTCATCTCCTGTATTATGTCCGCAGTCTCTGGTCATCTCCTGTACTATGTCTGCAGTCTCTGGTCATCCCCTGTACTATGTCTGCAGTCTCTGGTCATCCCCTGTACTATGTCTGCAGTCTCTGGTCATCTCCTGTACTATGTCTGCAGTCTCTGGTCATCTCCTGTACTATGTCTGCAGTCTCTGGTCATCCCCTGTACTATGTCTGCAGTCTCTGACCATCCCCTGTACTGTGTCTGCAGTCTCTGACCATCCCCTGTACTGTGTCTGCAGTCTCTGGTCATCCCCTGTACTGTGTCTGTAGTCTCTGGTCATCTCCTGTACTGTGTCTGCAGTCTCTGGTCATCTCCTGTACTGTGTCTGCAGTCTCTGGTCATCTCCTGTACTGTGTCTGCAGTCTCTGGTCATCTCCTGTACTATGTCTGCAGTCTCTGGTCATCTCCTGTACTGTGTCCGCAGTCTCTGGTCATCTCCTGTACTGTGTCCGCAGTCTCTGGTCATCTCCTGTACTGTCTGCAGTCTCTGGTCATCTCCTGTACTGTGTCTGCAGTCTCTGGTCATCTCCTGTACTGTGTCTGCAGTCTCTGGTCATCCCCTGTACTGTGTCCGCAGTCTCTGGTCATCTCCTGTACTGTGTCTGCAGTCTCTGGTCATCTCCTCTACTGTGTCCGCAGTCTCTGGTCATCTCCTGTACTGTGTCCGCAGTCTCTGGTCATCTCCTGTACTATGTCTGCAGTCTCTGGTCATCTCCTGTACTATGTCTGCAGTCTCTGGTCATCTCCTGTACTGTGTCTGCAGTCTCTGGTCATCTCCTGTACTATGTCCGCAGTCTCTGGTCATCTCCTGTACCATGTCCGCAGTCTCTGATCATCTCCTGTACTGTCCGCAGTCTCTGGTCATCTCCTGTACTATGTCTGCAGTCTCTGGTCATCTCCTGTACTATGTCCGCAGTCTCTGGTCATCTCCTGTACTGTGTCCGCAGTCTCTGGTCATCTCCTGTACTGTGTCTGCAGTCTCTGGTCATCTCCTGTACTGTGTCTGCAGTCTCTGGTCATCTCCTGTACTGTGTCTGCAGTCTCTGACTATCTCCCTGGCTCTCTCATCCGGAGTCCCCATGCTGAAATTTAAAGCTCCACATTCAATGCTCAGTATCTGCGTGAATGGACTCGGTGTGCGAAAAAAATCTGAAACCGCTTTCATTCCCAGGTGAGAGCTAAGGCCCACTGCTGTCAGTCTAACACAGTCTGCTGACAGCAGGAGACAGTGCAGGGGTTACTTTACGGGTGAGCTGCAGCTCCTCCACTATCCAATCACAGGCTGGGACAGCACTTGCCCAAGCTGCGTTGCTTTAACTGCAGAGGAGGGACGTGAGGTCAGGGCCTGGCTGTGCTGTCTGGCAGGAGTGGTCAGTCAAATTCTCTTTTCGTCAGGCTAAGCAGTATATGTGTAGTATACAAAGGTGTATCGAGAAGCTTGTCTGCAAGTCTGTATACAGAATCAGATATTATTATTATTATTAGTATTAGTATTATGTTTCTGAAATATTTATTATTATTGTTATTATTATTATTATTATTATTATTATTAAATAAATATTTTATTAATATTTATATTTATTATTATTATGTTTCTGAAATATTTTATTATTATTATCTATATTATTACTACTAGTATGAAATATTTTAGTGTTATTATTATTATTATTATTATTATTATTATTATTATTATTAATAATAAATAAATATTTTATTAATATTTATATTTATTATTATTATTTTGTTTCTGAAATATTTATTATTATTGTTATTATTATTATTAATATTATTATTATTATTATTATTATTATTATTATTAAATAAATATTTTATTAATATTTATATTTATTATTATGTTTCTGAAATATTTTATTATTATTATCTATATTATTACTACTAGTATGAAATATTTTAGTGTTATTATTATTATTATTATTATTATTATTAAATAAATATTTTATTAATATTTATATTTATTATTATTATTTTGCTTCTGAAATATTTATTATTATTATTATTATTATTATTATTAAAAAAATATTTTATTAATATTTATATTTATTATTATTATTATGCTTCTGAAATATTTTATTATTATTTATATTTTTATTATTATTATGCTTCTGAAATAATTTTTTATTATTATTACTATGAAATAAATATTTTATAGTATTATTATTATTAAGATATATATTATTTATATTTGTATTATTATTTAATGTATTATGTTATTATTATTATTATTATTATTATTATTATTATTATTAAGAAATATTTTATTATTATTTAAATATCTTATTATTGTTATTATTATTAATATTATTACTACTACTACTATTTGCTGTGCAGCCTGATCCCGGTGACTTGGGATTTGCACACCACTGCCACAATGCACAGCCAGGGAGATCAGTCACCACACCCTGGCCTATTCCTGTATCGCCTGCCTGCTGATTGGACAGAGATGACGATGCAGATTAATTGTCCAATGAAGAGGTTGGGGGCGGAGAGGTGACAACAGGAAGCTGCATTACTGAAGGAGGCACTAAGTGTCACCTGTCTATGCGCCCAGAGGTGTGCGAATCACAGGACAGGATGGGGCGCCATTGATTTTTATTTATATAATGCCAACAATATGCACAGCGCCTGACATTCCGTATATTCACATCAGTCCCTGGCCTCAGGAGCTTGCAATCTAAAGCATAGGGTGTGAACATGCTCATAATTGCACACGTTTGAGAAACAGACAAAACAAACATGGATTCCACGTGTGGTGTCATTCGTTGTTAATGGCGCCCCAAACACGGTTAGCTAAATGCGCATTTTTAGGTGCGGAAAGCGGCAGAACAGAACAGCGCGGTCGGCAAATACGAGACGCTCCAACCGGGGCACTTAGTGTAGCCTACTGAAATGCATAGCCGGCCCCGTTCATGTATGTACACACGCATGACATAGTGTGAAGGTTCCAAGATCACATACTAGGGCCAATGTAGATGGGGGCATGTCTGTGGAGGGTGGGAGAGAACAGGCAAACTCCATGCAGCTAATATCCTGATGCTGTAAGGCAGGAGTGCCCACCAAGTCGCTGTGCCGCGGTTTGTTCATTCCGATAGGCTGCGCTAAAGTGAACGAAACGCACATTTTACCGCATATTCCACATGAATGAGCCCCAAGTGAAGACGACAAAGTTCTGTTTGTAAAAAGTTGATCTGAATCCTCGAACTTTACACAAGAAGCTCGCTGATCGCACGGCCTGAAGACGCCAGACGCGGTTTGCGGAGGGGGATACGGAAAATATCCGAGTTGCTATTTTTGGTGCCGGAACCGGTCAGATGATGTCACCTTGCAGAGCGATGACATCATCAACTTCTACCCAGAATGTGGACTTCTGCTTCCCGTATGTTCCATCTTCGTCCTTCCATCCCCCAAAACTCCACCTCGTGTACGCTACATATACCGTTCAACCGCCAGTCAGGGACTTTGTCTAGGCCGAGGTGAGGTCATCAGTCAGAGACTTTGCCTAGGCTGAGGTGAGGTCATCAGTCAGAGACTTTGTCTAGACCGAGGTGAGATCATCAGTCAGCGACTTTGTCTAGACCGAGGTGAGGTCATCAGTCAGCGACTTTGTCTAGACCGAGGTGAGGTCATCAGTCAGAGACTTTGCCTAGGCTGAGGTGAGGTCATCAGTCAGAGACTTTGCCTAGGCTGAGGTGAGGTCATCAGTCAGAGACGTTGCCTAGGCCGAGGTGAGGTCATCAGTCAATGACGTTGCCTAGGCCGAGGTGAGGTCACCAGTCAATGACGTTGCCTAGGCCGAGGTGAGGTCACCAGTCAATGACGTTGCCTAGGCCGAGGTGAGGTCATTAGTCAGCGACTTTGCCTAGGCTGAGGTGAGGTCATCAGTCAGAGACTTTGCCTAGGGTGAGGTCATCAGTCAGAGACGTTGCCTAGGCCGAGGTGAGGTCACCAGTCAATGACGTTGCCTAGGCCGAGGTGAGGTCACCAGTCAATGACGTTGCCTAGGCCGAGGTGAGGTCATTAGTCAGCGACTTTGCCTAGGCCGAGGTGAGGTCATCAGTCAGCGACTTTGCCTAGGCCGAGGTGAGGTCACCAGTCAGCGACTTTGCCTAGGCCGAGGTGAGGTCACCAGTCAGCGACTTTGCCTAGGCCGAGGTGAGGTCATCAGTCAGCGACTTTGCCTAGGCCGAGGTGAGGTCACCAGTCAGCGACTTTGCCTAGGCCGAGGTGAGGTCACCAGTCAGTGACTTTGCCTAGGCCGAGGTGAGGTCACCAGTCAATGACAGAGTGAGGAATCCCAACGGGGGAAAACGATGTGCAACACTGTTGAAAAAAAGTTGCAAATTGCAGCAAAGTATCATTCATGTTGCCGTGGTCTTCATTTCTACGTCTCTTCATTGATACATTGTACAAATCGCAACCTTCATCTGACATGTCGCCAACAACGACTTTCCAATTTCTGACGCATTTCACAAGACCGCACATTGCGATTATTTGCCTATATGACGCACTGCTACAGATATCACTCCGCGATTCGCCGCATCGCCCCAGCGGTGACCGCTTCTCTCCTTTTCCTCCCCGGCGGTGACCGGTTCTCTCCTCCCCCCGTCCGCGGTGACCGGTTCTCTCCCCCCCCCCCTCTGTGGTGACCGGTTCTCTCCCCCCCGTGGTGACCGGTTCTCTCCTCCCCCTGTCCGCGGTGACCGGTTCTCCCCCCCCCCTCTGTGGTGACCGGTTCTCTCCTTTTCCTCCCCCGCGGTGACCGCTTCTCTCCTTTTCTTCCCCCGCGGTGACCGCTTCTCTCCTTTTCTTCCCCCGCGGTGACCGCTTCTCTCCCCCCCCCCACCCCCCCCCCCACGGTGACCGGTTCTCTCCTCCCCCCCTGTGGTGACCGGTTCTCT